TGTGTCCCATAAGTTTTGGTAACTCGTGACCTCATTTTCATTCGTTTCTAGGAATCTTTTGATTTCCTCTTTGATTTCCTTTCTAAGCCACTCGTTGTTCAAGAGTGCACTGCTTTATTTCCAGGTGTTTGATTTAGTTTTCTGTTTTTGTGTGTGATTTACTTCTAATTTCAGTGCATTATGGTCTGAGAAGATTGTTGATACAATCTCTATCTTCTTAAATTTATGAAGGTAGGTTTTGTGGCTCAGCATGTGGTCTATCTTCGAAAATGTTCCATGTATGCTTGAGAAGAATGTGTATTCAGCTTTTTGAGGATGAAGTGTCCTGTATATATCTACTAGGTCCCTTTCTTCCATTGTTTCCCTCAGATGCAGTATGTCCTTATTTAGCTTGAGTCTGGTTGATCTATCAAGAGGTGATAAAGCAGTGTTGAAGTCTCCCACTAGCATTGTGTTGCTATTGATGTCTTTCTCCAAATCTATGAGTAGTTGTTTTAAGTACTTTGCTGGTCCCTCATTAGGTGCATATACATTTATTATTGTAAGTTCTTCCTGTTTTACAGAACCTTTGATCAGTAAGAAATGGCCTTCACTGTCTCTTGTTACCTTCTTCACTCTAAAATCGATGTCATCTGATATTAGGATGGCTACCCCAACTTTTTTATGGGAGCTGTTTCCTGTAGGATTGTTTTCCAGTCTTTGACTCTGAGCCTGTGTTTTCTTTTACTATTGAGATGTGTTTCTTGCAGGCAGCAGAATGTTCGGTTCAATTTCTAATGTATCCTCCCACTCTGAGTCTTTTAATTGGTGCGTTTAGCCCATTGACATTGAGAGAGATTATTGTTATGGGTTTTTTCCCCATTGTTCTGTTGAAATTTGTTGTATTTGATGGCCCTGTTTTGCCTTAAAGTAGTCCATTTAGTTGTTCTTGTAACCATGGTTTTGAGTCTATGAAGTTCCTGAGCTGTTGTTTGTCTGTGAAACTGTGTGTTGTTCCTTCTGTTATGAATGAGAGTCTCGCTGTGTAAAGTATTTTTGGAGAGGCATTTATTTCATTGAGTTTTTTCACTACATCCCACCACTGTTTTCGGGCCATGAGGGTTTGATCAGAAAAATCAGCTGTGAATTTTAAGGATGCTCCTTTGTAGGAGATTTCTTTCATCGATCTTGCTGCTTTCAGAATTTTGTCTCTAAGGTTTTGGTCATTTTGATCAATATGTGTCTTGGGGTATTTTTATTCGGATTTTTTCAAGCTGGTACCCTTAGGGCCTCCTGAATGTGGTCATAAGTTTTCTTCAGCTCAGGACACGTTGTAGCAATGATGTCTTTGACAGTTCTTCTTCATCAAGGTTTTCTTCCTGTCCCTCTGGGTCTCCAATAATTCTTATGTTACCATCTTGGCTTCATCACAATCTTCTCTTGCCACCTGTTCCCGAATTGTGAGTCTCTTTTCCATTTTCTGCCCTTTTCTGGAGAGTCTCTGTACTTTATCTTCGAGCTCCCTGATTCTGTTCTCAGCAGCTGTTACTGTGCTGCTGAGGCCTTACACTGAGTTCTTCAATTCGCCTACCAGGTTTTTCATGTCTGACATTTCCGTTTGCATTTTCCTCATTTCTGCCTTCAAATCCTCTTGTCTTTTATTGGCATTGCTTTCCATTGTTTCTTTTAGTTCCCTAAGCATCCTAAGTATCTCCCTTCTGAATTGCTTGTCAGAGAGGTTGTCTAACAATACAGTACTGTTGGTGTCTTCTGGGCTAGCCTCTTCAATAAGAAAGTTTGGTAGGCTTTTGCGTTGCTTTACCATTGTGACCAGTGTGGTTTAGTCCTTCACGTTCACTGTTACTATTCTGCTTGATATGCAGAGTGAGTTGAGATAGGCTTAAAGAGTTATTGGCTAATGTTTTTCTAGTGGTTGAGCTAACGTAGAGAATGTTCCATTTAAGAGGGTAACTTATGGTTCCTATGGGATATGTAGTGGGAGAATAATTCGCGGCCATGTTAGTGGTCGCAGCTCCAGAATGGGTCCCTGCGCTGAGCCCCGGGCAGTACCTGTTTGAATGAGGAGAGAATGCCCAGCTCCTTTCAGCTTTGTTTCCGTGAGATGTGGGTCAGTTCCCCATCCTGTGCAGATCCAGGGGGAAAAAACAGCTGTTCTCGGGGATCAAGCTAGCTGCACATGCCCAGAAAGAGTCCCTGGCCCTGGGTGCTGAGCAGTACCTGTCGAATGAGGAGAGAGTGCCCGGAGCCGTTCAGCTTTGTTTCCGCGAGATGTGCCTCACAGAAAGTCTTTTTTATTATTCCAGTACCATACCGTTTTGATTATTATTGCTTTATAAGCATAGATTCAAGTTAGGAATGGAGAAGCCTCCCAGCTTTTTGTTTTTTAGTATGGTTTTAGCTATGCATGTCTTTTATGATTCCACACAAACTTTAGAATGATAGTGCTAAGTCCTTTAAGAATGTTTTCTGCATTTGGAGAGGGATTGCATGGAATCTGTATAGTAGTTTTTGTAAGATGGTGTATTTTGACAATATTGATTCTTGTAATCTATAAATATGGAATGTTTTTCCACTTCCAAAGATTTTCAGTGATTTGAACACTCTGAAGATCTTAGGAACTTCACTCTTTATTGAGTATTTTGAAGTTTGCATGGCCTCTCGCCTTTTTTTTTTCTTTTGTGGGTCACACCCGGTGATGCTCAGGGGTTCCTCCTGGCTCTGAACTCAGGAATTACTCATGGCAGTGCTCAAAAATGGGCAACAAAATGAACAGAAACTTTCTCAAAGAAGAAATCCGAATGGCTAAAAGGCACATGAGAAAATGCTCTACATCATTAATCATCAGAGAGATGCAGACCAAAACAAAAATGAGGTATCATTTCACACCACAGAGACTGGCCCACATCCAAAAGAACAAAAGCAATCAGTGCTGGTGCGGATGTGGCGAGAAAGGGACCCTCCTTCACTGCTGGTGGGAATGCCGGCTGGTTAAACCCTTCTGGAAAACAGTATGGACAATTCTCAAAAAATTAGAAATTGAGCTCCCATTTGACCCAGCAATACCACTCCTGGGAATATATTCCAGAGAGGCAAAAAAGTATAGTTGAACTGATATCTGCACTTGTTTTTTCATTGCAGCACTATTTACAATAACCAGAATCTGGAAAAAACCCGAGTGCCCGAAAACAGATGCTGGTTAAAGAAACTTTGGCACTTCTACAGAGTGGAGAACTATGTAGCTGTTAGAAAGGATGAAGTCATTAAATTTACATACAAGTGGTACTCCATGGAAAGTATCATGCTAAGCAAAATGAGTCAGAAATAGAGGGACAGACATAGAAAGATTGCATTCATCTGGGGAACCTAAAGTATCAAAATAGGAGTCTACCACCCAACACCCATTGAGATAAGTACCAGGAGGTTAACTGCCTGGCTTGGAGGCTAGCCACACACTCTAGGGGAAAAGAGAGCTCAGATCAAGAAAGGAGCACCTAATAAAGGGTGTTGGGAGGATCCTCTCAGGATGGGAGAAGCATGCTGAAAGTAGACTATAGAGCAAACATGATTGCCACTCAATGCCTCTTTTGCAAACCACAGCACCCAAAAGGAGAGAGAGAACAAAAGGGAATACCTTGCCACAGAGGCAGTATGTGATGGGGGGATGGGGGATGGGAGGGATACTGGGATCCGTGGTGGTGGAACATGGGCATTGGTGGAGGGATGGGTGTTTGATCATTGTAAAATTGAAACCCAAGCACAAAAATCTGTAAATCTACAACAGTTCCTCGTGGTGTTTTCACTAACAAAAATAAAAAAAATTTAAATGATGGAGAATGGGCACTGGCGGTGGGATGGGTACTGGATCATTGTATAACTGAAACCCACGCACAAAAATTTGTAAATCTACAACTGTACCTCATGGTGTTTTACTAATAAATATTTTAAAAAGTGAGGAAGAAAGAAAGCTACTTTTGATTTTAGGTTTTTTAAAAATGACATGTGCTCATCTTAGAAATAGAACGAAAAGATAGCTCAAGAGAAAGGCAGGCAAGGAAAAGATCTGATGTCATTTATAAGCTAAAGAAAAAAGTGAGTGAAAAGAGGAAAAAGCTATATTAAACATAGTAGGTTTCTATAACAAGAGAAGGAATAAAATCAGGGACACAAATCATTAGACTTAGAAAAGGGGGACACAAAGCTAAACGGGGGCAAACTTTGAAGTTACATGAGATATTGGGAGTGTTGCTCATGTCTAAACACCTTTTTTCTCTTTGATATAAATGTGCTGCTGCTTTTTGTTTTAGCTTTTTGGACCATACCCAGCAATACTCAGGGGTTATGCCTGACTCTGGGCTCCTGGATCTTATTTGGTAGTGCTCAGAGACCATAATGTTGCTAAAGATACAATCAGGATCAACATGCAAGGCAAGTGACTTACCCCTTTAACTATCTCTTCAGCACTATATCAAGTTTCTTAAACTGAATCACAGGGCACCAAATAATTTAATATAGGGGCAGCATGATGAATGTTTTGTTTGTATACCTACAAGCCCAGGGTCACATAAAGTTTTTTTTTCTTTTTGGATCACACCCGGCAATACACAGGGGTTACTGCTGGCTCTGCACTCAGGAATTACTCCTGGTGGTGCTCAGGGGACCATATGGGATGCTGGGAATCGAACCTGGGTCTCCACGTGCAAGGCAAACGCCTTACCCGCTTTGCTATCACTCCAGCCCCTCACATCCCTCACAAAAACTTTTAACAGGTGAAAAGGGGTTGCTAGTAAAAAGTGTTTAAGAAGCTCTTGATAGGGGATATAATCATTATTGGAGGTTTGAGAATAAAAGACTTATAATATCTCTCCTGGGTAACAGAATAAGAAACTACCTAGGGACCAGCAGAAGGATTATTAAGGAGCACATGGTCCTCTTTAATACTTACGGGTGTTTTTGACATTTAATAGTGTTAAAACTAAGGGAAATAAATAGACAAAGCCAGGTCCAGGAGACACAAAATAGAGATATTTTATTCTACCACTGAATCATGAAAAAGGGCACATATATCAAGAAATGAATCCTTCTACTATATGTCCAGATGTCTTCAAATTTAGGAAACATTAATCTAGAAAATCTAAAGAAATACAAACATACACATATATGTATACACACATATATCTGTATATACATAATTCAGGCTCATTGTTGCAAAATGTATTTACTATTTTTTAAATATCCATAAAAGCCATCAACTCTATCTTATACTTCTTCCTCTGCCATTATCATAATTTAATGTGTTTAGATTTTATTCAGCTTGTGTTTTAGTCACTCATGTAATTAGTCACACATACTACATATTTATTAGCAGATGCAAAGGAACATTTGGTTTAAATTATACTATTCATTACAGCTACCTGCAACATGATTTTTTCATCAGTATCTGCAACTTCACACATCTTGTGGTTTTCTATCCAGACTATTTCAGCTTCTTGTGCTGTACATATCTACATCTTCTGGATGGGACTGCCCATGATCCATGAGCTTGGGGTCAGGCACGAACTGTGCAGCACCTGATAAAGTATCAAAATAAAAGTACAGATTATTCATGCAATAAATTGGTACTGGAAATGCAACAGCAAGACACATAAGAAAGTCTCAGCTAGCATGGGCATAACATTAAAGTTGGGTGAAACAGAAAAATTAAGTAAAAGACATAATATATGGTAGTTTAATGGAGAAAAACAGGGAGGGGCATATATAGGTCTAGAGAGATCTGATTTTAAAATAGAAGTCTCCTGGAAATGTGGTATCTGGGCAAAGACTAAAGTCAGTGAGACTGTATCTGAAGGAAACACCATACAGAGTGAGCCAACAGAAGTAATCATAACATAACTAAGACATTATCTAAGGAAGTACAAAATGACCAATAATGGCTAGAACTGATTAAGTAAAATGTGATGATGGGTACAGTGATAGTGATAGCAGACATGATCAGAAACATAACAGAGGGCACAAAGAGCCATGGTAAGATTTCTCTTTAAGTTAAATAAGTTGCTGCATAGTTTTGGGCAGAGGAATGACATGAAGCTATATTTTAAAATAATTACTCTACACCATTGGGAGAGGAGACTATAAGGGAAGAAATGCAGAAGCCGTGTCGAGAAGTTTTGGAGAAGTGCCAATATCCTTTAATTAGGGTAGCAGTAGTGGACTGGATCCCAGATAACTTCTGAACATAAAATGGATAGGATTTCCTAAGGGACTGAATATGTTATATAAGAGCTTAAGTTGAAAAACTGAAGGAATTGAGTTCACATATACTGAGATAATAAAAACATGCTGAACTATATTTGTACATTCTAGTCAACTGTGTCCCTCAAAAAAAAAAAAACACACTCGGTAGAGATTTTTCTCTAAGTGTCTCCCAACCATGCTACCCACATCCTGTCCTTTGTCACTATTCACTTGCTAGGTGGAAAATGAAGTGTTATGTTTTAGATGTGCTAAATTTATATCACTAATGAAATATGCGAGTATAGATATTGAATAAGCAGCTAGAAATATTAGTTCGTAGAGTTTATTAAACCCTGGACTGGTTTTTAACTTCATGATTCTAGCCTATGGAATTTTAAACTAGGGGATTATATAAAATAATCTGGAGTATTGGAGAAGAGGTCTAAGAAATAATCCTTTGGAAATACTGAGTTTTTGAGGGAAAGATGATTAAATTAACATTGCCAAGAAGACTAAAAATGAAGAGCTAATCAATAAAGTATGAGATATCAAATCAGGTTTTATCTTACTGACCACATGAAGAGATTATTCAAAGGAAGTGAGAATAAATCAACCACATGGATGATTGCATAAAATGGATTGCATAAGAAGGGGATTTACAATCAATCAAATCTTGGATTTGGCATTGTGTGGGTGATCTTGATAAATGATGATTTTGACAAATGGATTGCATGGCTGACAAAATATGCTATTTACATACATTATCTCACAATTGCAAGATGAAGTGGGTCTTTATATCACCCACTTTTACAAATAAGAAAATTTTAATTTAGTGAGATAGAGAAACTGCAGACTAGTAGTAGGCATGGTTTTCCAAGCTTCTAGGAGCTAAAGAAAGACACAAGAGTCTGCTAGAAGATTTATCGTGCATGCCAGCAAAATGGAGGTAATTTCAAACCCACACACTGAGATGGATGCTGCACGCTCCTAATGCCTGGCTCCTCCAACAGGTCAGATCATAGGTGGGCATGGTTGTTTGAGTGAGTGACCCACCAATAAAATCTTCCCCACTGTATTCCATAAAATTCACAAATTGGTTCTTAAACAGAACTCTCACCAGTGCAGGCTGGCTAGCCTAAAAACATTAGGCCAATAGTGCATTAGATCCTATTCCAATCAACATTTTCTCAAAACCCACAAAAGTAATGGTGAGTCACAATAAACAATACAAACCTAATAAAAAGAAACAGTAAGTTCAGGCCAAAGAACATATTCCCTAAATGAGAGCAAAAGATTTCACACAATTACACAGGAACACCAAATTGGAAGGAAATATCCCTGAGGGAGAAAGAAGAGACCACCACTAACCTAGCTCCTCCCAGAATGCTCCATGGCAATGATGGGGGGGGGGTCGCTGATAGTGTATTGGTATATTGGAAAGAACCCCTTCTTATTACCACAGACAACATGGGGAAACAGCACAGAACACCACCACAAAGAATAGATAAAAATAGGAGCTCTGAAACCTCAACAGGGAATAACCACATGAAACAAAAAACTTAATGGATGCCTTCAAAGAATGACAACAGTTGAAGACAGACTCAGTGAAGTAGAAGATGAGCTGCAGAAAGATTCCAGGCAACAAAAGAAGATGAAAAAAGGCCTGAAAATAATGCAAGGGATAATGAGAACTATGAGATAAAATCAAGTGGCACAGCATAAGAATCATCAAAGTCCAGAGGGACAGGAAGGCAACCCCAATGAGGAAGTAACACTCAAAGACATCACTGATGAAAAGTTACCCGAGCTACAGAATGCAGGCATCCAGATACAACAAGCCTAAAGGGTACCAGCTAAAAGAGACCCTAATTAAAAGACTTCATGACATATCCTAATACGAACGAAGAAAAACATAGATCGAGATACAATACTGAAAGCAGTAAGACCAAAGAAAGAATTTACATACAAAGGATCATTCTTAGATTTACAGCAGACCTATCAAATGAAAGCCTCTGAGTCCAAAGTCAATAGTGGGATATAGTTTTAAAAACAGTGAAATGAAGGCCTCAATAAGAATATTATACCCAGGGATAAATGAAAGAGAGGGGGCTAGTATATAATATATATAATATTTCACTTATAGATAGATAGAAATACATACACACGCATACAGGGCTTTCATTCCCCAAAGCTGAATGCATATGCTTCTCCAGTACTTGCAGGACATCCTTTAAGAGAGGCCACATGCTGGGCCACAAATCACAGTTCCATAAAACTAAGAGTACAGAAATGGTATTAATTCTCTTTTCAGAACATAAGGCCCTGAAAGTAGAAATTAATCACCTACAGAAATGGAGAATCAAATCAAACACCTGGAAATTAAACATCCAGCTAGTGACCAGCCAGTGGATTAGAGAGGAGATAAATGATGCAATCAAAAGATTGCTGGAAGTCACACATACCAATCTCGGAATCCAGGGGCTTCTGGCAGTAATACCTCTAGGTTTATTACTAAAATATCAGAAATCCAAATTCATGTGGCTGCTATTGTTGCCACATGACATCATATGCTCTTCATAATCAGCAATAGAAAAAAAGTTATCTAATGATGTCCTTGTGGCAGGTTTGAATGTTGGGGAAAATTCCAAATAACAATGTTGGGTCTTTTGTCGTAATATTATTGAATGTGATCAATGTAGAGAGAGATAAAGTGGAAATCTGCAACACAGGCTGGGGGTAGGGTGGGGGGAGGGGGGTATACTGGGGTTCGTGGTGGTGGAAAATGTGCACTGGTGAAGGGACGGGTGTTTGATCATTGTATGACCAACCGAGACTTGAACTGAAAGGCTTTGTGACTGTTCTCATGGTGATTCAATAAATAAATTAAAAAAAAAAGATTCCTGGAAACTGTCATTCATCCAGGTCTCCGCATGATGGCAGGACCATTTCCCAGGGCTGCACGTCAAACTAGATCCCCTGAGAACGGCCGGTTTTCATCCTTGCTGTGCAGGGCACGGGAATTGAGGCACACCGCGTGCACCCAAAGCTGAGCCATCTCGACACCCTCTGCTCATTCATCCAGGTACCCGCCCCCCAGCGGCAGGACCCCTTCCCGGTGCCGCAGCTGCGTTAGCGAGTTATTCTCCCCCTACATATCACATAGGAACTATAAGTAGGGTAACCATAAGTTGCCCTCTTAGCTGGAACTTTCACTCCTGAAATGGAACAAACACTCCTGAAATTTATATGGAACAATATGCCCCCACGAATAGCTAAAGCAATTCTTGGGAAAAAGAAAATGGGAGGAATCAACCTCCCTAACTTCAAACTCTACTACAAAGCAGTAATAATTAAAACAGCATGGTACTGGAACAAAGGCAGAACTGCAGAACAATGGAACAGGTTTGAATATACTGACATCTCCCCCCAAACATATGATCATGTAATCTTTGACAAGGGAGCAAGAAATGTGAAGTGGAGCAAGGAGAGCGTCTTTAATAAATTATGCTGGCAAAATTGGACAGCTACATGCAAAAAAAAGTGGGCTCAGATCTCAGCCTAACACTATGTACAAGAGTAAGATCAAAATGGATTAGAGATCTCAAAATTAGACTGGAATCCATAAGGTACATTGAGACAAAGTGGGCAAAACCCTCCATGACACTGAAGCTAATGGTATCTTCAAAGATGTCACACCACTGGCCAAGCAAGTAAAAACAGAGATAGACAAATGGAACTCTCTTTTTTATTATTATTAGTGAAACACCATTAGGTACAGTTGTAGATTTACAATTTTTTGTGCTTGGGTTTCGATTATACAATGATCAAATACCCATCCCTCCACCAGTGCCCATTTTCCACCATCATGGATAATATCCCTCCCACCCCCATCCCTCCCATCCCACCCTGCCTCTGTGGCAGGGCAATCCCTTGTGTTCTCTCTCTCCTTTTGGGTGTTGTGGTCTGCAAAAGAGGCTTTGAGTGGCAAACATGTTCAGTGGGACTATCTTAAATTAAGACGCTTCTGCATCTCAAAAGAAACAGTGACCAAAATACAGACAGTCTACAGAATGGGAAAGGATATTCGCCAAATACACATGTGACATGGGGTTGATATCAAGGATATACAAAGTTCTGGTTGAACTCCCCAAGAAGAAAACATCCAACCCCATCAAAACAAGGGGTGACAAAATGAACAGAAACTTTCTCAAAGAAGAAATCCGAATGGCTAAAAGGCACATGAGAAAATGCTCTACATCATTAATCATCAGGGAGATGCAGATCAAAACCACAATGAGATATCATTTCACACCACAGAGACTGGCCCATATCCAAA